CCAGAGTATGAGCAAAACAAGTTCAAAATCACTGTCTATGCAACTGCTCTTAGACTTCAGGATGAAACAGGATAGTTTTGACAAACCTATGATCTTGATAAATCCCTTTTTCATTATAATTGGAATTAACAATTTAGCTCTTGTTTCAATCTCTATAGATACACATGAGTGACATGCAGAAGGCATGCTGCAAGGACCGTGCGAGGGGTCTTGCTGTCACAACGTAACCACCTACCAGGGGGGAGTGCAGGAGCCTGGTGGCCACCTCCCTCTGACCGGCCACCACGCACAGGAAGCACAGGAGGTTCAGCTTGGCCCGGGAGGCGCCCATGGTCTTCTCGGCGCAGTCGACCTGTGAGCACACTTGTTGCAGAAAGTCGTTCCAGTCCTGGTCTTTCAGGGACACTAACCTGTCCACTGCGGAGGAAAGGAAATATTGAAAGTGGGTGTCGTGAAAAAGCACCGCGAAAATATCTCGGGAGAAATGAAATGGAACAGGACTTCGATAGCTGAGGGCGAAAAAGTCGTGACTTCACAACGTCAAAATCAAAACTACTCCAAAGCTGACACTGTTCTCATTTACTCTTTTATACTCATTTCACTTTCTTCCACTGGAGACTTTTATAACTATGCTGGGGGGAAAAATGAGATGCCTCAAGGAGAATTATCCAGCAAATGAGAATAATACAAAACACCAAGTTAAATAACATTGCATTTTGAAAAAAACAAGTCTTTCTGTAAATAAAACAATCTAGCCTTAGAATATTGGAAAAGCCAAAGATTTTACAGTTGTTAAAAGGTTCCAATGAAATTACTATTCAACATCACAAGGTGAATACATAAGCTGAAGTCACCTGGGATCCTGCCTCCACATCCCTGTACAAACACAGGCTGAAACTAGGAAAGAGATGCCATCCCCAGTTAACATGGCTGAGTAGATCTCCACCTTCAAACAAGATAAACTGCAACAGCCATTTCCCAGAATAAGTCAAAGTAAAGGGCACTACTTTCAGTTTCTCATACTGTCAAACATGAATATTATTTTCTAGTAATATTATTTTCTAGAATCCTAGAAAATAATATTATTTTCTAGGGGAAGGAATATTATTTTCTAGTAATCCTCTACGTTTTCATCAATAGTGGTTCTATTTGGCATGGCTTATTTAAATTTGCCTATATTTTATGTTTTTATTACTTTGATTTTATTTCAAATCAGAGATTCTACTCTAGCCATGATGATGAAGTTTTTCCAAATCTAGTTCAATAGCTTTATCAAACACAATACACCCAAATTTATGGTATAAAAACATTTCTGCCCTGGCCAGTGTGGCTCAGTTGGTTGGGCATTATCCCATGCACCGAAAGGTTGCTGGTTCTAGTCCCAGTCAGGACACATGCCTGGGTTGCTGGCTCAATCCCCAGTAGGGGGTGTGCAGGAGGCAATGGATTGATGACATCTCTCTAAATTTCTTTTTTTTTTTTTTAATATTTTATTGATTTTTTTACAGAGAGGAAGGAAGAGGGATAGAGAGTTAGAAACATCGATGAGAGAGAAACATCGATCAGCTGCCTCCTGCACATTCCCCACTGGGGATGTGCCCGCAACCAAGGTAGGTACATGCCCTTGACCGGAATCGAACCTGGGACCCTTGAGTCCGCAGGCCGACGCTCTATCCACTGAGCCAAACCGGACAGGGCAAATTTCTTTTTTTTTTTTTTTTAATTTCTGACGTTCACCCTAAATCAGACTTTCCAGTAGATGAAAGGAAACATAACAATCTTCTTTTACGTATCTCCATTTGCCGGAAGCCAGTCCATCCTTGCTGCTTGACACAGTCGCCCTTCTTCGCCGACTCCATCCACACCTTTGGGAACCCCTGGACCTGCTGGGGCTGGACCCCAACATCCATTCCCACACCATCCCCACAAAAGTGAACCACCTGGTCCCATTCTCAACTGCCCTGGCTTCCTTGAGTAGACTCTCAATTCTTCATTGTGGTCTCCAACCCTCCACACCCACAATAACACCACAAACGTTGGAAATTCAATGGGCTCTACCAGGGGAAGGGCAGGAGAAGGGCCCACCCACGTAACAGGAAAAGCCATCCAGCTTTTTAGGAACTCTCCCACCCACAAGAGCACAGGGCAGCCCAGACTCAGCTGAGTACGGGCAAAAGCTGGCACAAATGGATTACAGGTTGTTTACAATTTGCATAGCACTGCCAAGAAGACAACCAGTTGGCAAGAAAATAGAAATTTAGCTATTCGTGAATAAAATATTCCATGTGCTATTAAATGTCTGTCTGCAAAGTGTCTAAACCTTTATGAGCCTACCTGAATATGCTGGTAGATGCAATACTTTTGGATCAAATTTAATGGGTGGTTGTTTCATGATCTGTGGTTTAAAAAAGGAAAAAAAACACCTTTAGAGACAGACATTGGCTCCTGATTTATCGCCTAGATCAGATTATAAATCAGTGAGGACAGAAAGGAATGCTGTAAAATTTGTCACCCATAAGAACTCAACAGTGCCCTTTAATATTAAAATATACAAATATGGATGACGATTTATAAAAATAAGATCATTTCCATTGATATCTGCAGCAAAATTAAGCTTCATGAAAGAGATGCCCTACTGCGGCTTACGTGTAAGCTAATTTACCTCTAGGTGAGAAATTTGGTCACTGAACAAAACACGCGCTGAGGACCTGCCAGAGTAGGTCCATGCTCAGTGTTAGGGACACACACACACACACACACACACACACACACAGATGTTATCCTGTTGTCAGAGAGCTGCCACTCGGGTAACAACACAGACATTTGTTAAATAACAAAAAAACTGAAGTAACAGTGCAGAACAGGCAGGACATAATCAGACAAAACATCTCACAAGAGGAGTGTTTTTAAGCATCAGAGAAGGCAGCAAGCCCTTCTGGCTGATGTGGCCAGGACAAGGTTTATGAAGAGGTAGGAGGTAGACTGAGGTCGTAGGAATGGCCAGGACTTGAAGGCTGAATTCAAGACCAACATCGCTCTAGGAAGCTGTGACAGCCTCAACAGGAAAGCGCATGAGTCTGGAGCAGCTGGAGTCCTTCCTCTTGAGGCTTTTAATTAAATATTCAACCATCACCTTTCTATGTCTCACTTCTCCAAAATTCATAGTGTGTTTTTAAGGCCTTGGCTGGTAGTATTCTTGCCAGAAATAGACAACCTCATTCTCATCAAGAGAAAGCCTTCGACAAACCTAAGTGGAAGGACATTCTACAAAACACCTGACCACTTCCAAGTGTCAAGGTCATGAAGAACAAGCAGAGGTCAGGAAATGACCACAGGGCCGGGAAAGACAAGGAGAGCAAGGAAACATAAACTGAAATGTGGGTCCCGGAACAGAAAAGGGGCATCAGGGTCACAGCTGGCAAAAATTCGCACCGTGCTAATGTTAATCCCCTGGGTCTGCTAACCACCTGCGGTCCTGCAGGATGTTCACATTAGGAGAAACTGGGGAAAAGGTATATAGGGAGGAACGCTAATATTTTCTAACGTTTTTCTAGAAGTCTAAAATCAGTTCAAAATAAAAGCCTATAGTAAGAATGCTTAAAAAACAGCTAACATTTCCCAGAAACAACCATATGTGGCTATAAGATGAAATAAAAAAATAGAATATGGTTTTAAAAAATTCACAAATTGTTTAGAAGGTCCACTGGGAAAATGCCCCGTTACCTATTAAATTTGATGTAACATCCAGTTATTCTGCCAGGTATCTAAACTCATAAAAAGAAGTCGCTCTGTTGTGAAAATCGCTGGATGATCTATATGAAATGCTGTCTTTGTAGCAAATATGCACACATCCAACAACCCATTTACTCTAAACCAGAGCAATGTTCCCTGATGAGATGAGAGGAAACGGTCACAAATTTACACAGAAAAAGACAGTTTAAAAAAATTCACATACAGAATAGATAGTGGAGGAATGTGTTGGAGACTGGGCGTCAACAGAAAACAAAGGGACCGAGAAATGACATTTTTTCAAGGAAGGCACTCATCCCTAGTAACAGAGCATTGCTTTCCAAAGGACAGGAAGCGACAGGATTCCCCTGGGGTAGAAGTGAACCCAGAGTGCCCCAGCTCCCAGGGTCTGCCACCGCCCACCTGCGTCCCGATAACCTATGAGAGGGCGTGGTCTCTGTGATCGGCCCACCCAGCCACGCCTGGTGAGCGGTGCTCACTGCCATCTGCCTTCCTAACACCATCAACTACAACAGTGGTTCTCAACCTTCTGGCCCTTTAAATACAGTTCCTCATGTTGTGACCCAACCATAAAATTATTTTCGTTGCTACTTCATAACTGTAATGTTGCTACTGTTATGAACTGTAATGTAAATATCTGATATGCAGGATGGTCTTCGGCGACCCCTGTGAAAGGGTCGTTTGACCGCCAAAGGGGTCGCGACCCACAGGTTGAGAACCGCTGAACTAGAACATCTGGCGTGATCCACGTTAAGCACGTGCTGAGAAAGGAAGGCCTCGAGGACTCAGGTCTGAGGTCTGAGTCAGCGGCCACTCCTGGGCCCGCTGGACTGATGGGAGGCAGGGGGGGTGTGGGGCAGGAAGAACACCGCCCAGGCAGGAAGGAGAGAGGGTTACAGACAGGGCGGGAGTTAGGCGTGTGGACATGTGTGTGGTTCGAACGAAATCCAAGTGGATGACAAGAGGAATAGAAATGAAAACATCACCCAGACTTCAGCCCTCAGTGAAATGGAAAACCCAGCCCTGGAGGCGGGGGGGGGGGGGGGGGGGTGCCTCTCCGCACCTTGGGATTGTCAATAATCGGCGTGACGACGAGTTCTGCGTCTGTGTAGATGAGCTCCCTCATCTGGGATTCCATGTCCTGCTGGCTCAGGTGCCCACCTGTGGTCTGAAACAACAACAAAAATTAGACTGTTTCTGTGCCTAATGAAGAGCTTTGAAAGACTGAACTAATAAGACGCTGAGCAAGGTCATCTCTAATGTACCTCAACTGATACTCAAAACACTTGCACAGGGAGTCTCATTTGATCTTCGCATGGGTGAATTAAATGGGTGAATTATGTGGTATGTCAATGATAGCTCAATGAAGCTGTTATTTTTAAAAAAAAACCTATATGCCCTAGCGGGTTTGGCTCAGTGGATAGAGTGTTGGCCTGTGAACTGAACGGTCCCAGGTTCGATTCTGGTCAAGGCCACATGCCCAGATTGTAGGCTCGTTCCCCAGTGGGGGACTTGCGGGAGGCAGCTGATCAATGATTCTCTCTCATCGTGGATGTTTCTATCTCTTTCCCCCTCTTCCTCTCTGAAATCAATTAAAAAATATATTTTAAAAAAACTATAAAGTACCTCTCTCTTAAGTGTGCTTACTAGAAAAAACCAATGATAAGGCAATGACTTAACTGTAAATTTTGTAAACACCAACATAGTTCGGAAACCAATTGCAATTATTCTTTAGAATCTCTATATCTCATGTAAAAAAACAAAAAACAAGAAACAATCCATCGCTGTTCACCTTGGTCGAAGGAGGCGCCTTCTGCGGTGAACTCTGGGCCACATCCTCACCAGGACTTGACCCCACGGCAGTGCTGGTTCGCGGCGTAGGACGAGAACTGAAACACACACACCAGTGCCATTACTCACACGTCAGAAACTTCACCCTCCGCTTACTGTATGCTGGGGAAAATGAAAACAGGTCTCCTGAAAAAGGGCAGAATACGTTAATTCTCTGTGATCTCATCATATAAAAAAACATTTAATCTTATCTGTGTTTACATGACTATTATTTTTATAACTTTCTAAAGTAATTCCCTGGCTAATTTATTGTGTGTGTGTTTTTTTTTGTTTATAGCTTCTATGCTCCATGCAGTATTTTCTGTTTTTACTGGAAACCTTACAACAATGATTTTATTATTCTTTAAATGTCTGCTGGTATGAGCAGGATTAACGTAACAAAATACATCAGATACTCCACAAAGGATGAATAATATTCACAATTTTATTTCAGATGATGTTCAATATGGAAAGGTTTCTTGGTGCCTGCTAAGGAGTGATATAAACCCACAACTACTTGTAATGACTCCGCCCACACCTGTCAATGGCCTCCGTGCCCCTGATGAGCCACTCCATTCCCCCGCCCCCCACCCCTGAGTCTCTGATTTTCAGTTTTTCACATTTTAAGAAATTCACTCAGATCCCCAGGGTCTTCTTTAGTAAACTCCTTCAAATTCCCAAATACCAGGATTCCCATTTCTCTTTCACTTACTTGTCTGTTTGTTCATTCATTAAACAAGTACTGACTTAGCGCACAGGAAATGCCCGGGAGTATACAAAGCTTTTTTAAAATCCAGGACAACAGATGCTGTAATAAGATGTACTTTCATCCCCCGGCCGGGGACCCCTCACTGCTCTGTCACTTCACCCACCTGAGAAGGAACATGGACTCGTTCAGTTGACCCCCAAGAGTATTCTTAGGCCGCAACTCAGCTGGATCTTCTGTGGCAGGAAAGGAGAACGTTAGCCATGAAGGAACAGGTACCATGAGCGGAGCGTCCGCAGACAGGGACTGAGAGAGAAAGACAGCACGAACGCGGAGGGGACTCTCCAACACGGCATTCTGGGCAGCACACACACGCTCGGATGAAAGCCCACCTAGTCTCCAAGGGCGACTCGGCCGCTGACCACTCCTCTCCCCTCTGGCCTGTCCGCTCGGGGGGCTCCACACACGCTCCTTGGCATCTTGTGACCCGGAACATTCCATCATGTTTCTGCTGCTCAACAGGAGAAAGTCAACACAGTCAAACTTACTTGTGAGCTTTCTACACAGCTTTCTGTGTCGAACAAGAGGTTGGAAATAACTAAATTACATGTGACATTTGGCAAAGCCATGGAGAAAAGCAGTATTTTTCATCGAGCAGTGACCATGAGCACCGCTACGAGCAGGGCAGTGTGTGAAGAAATCTCTACGCCTTCTCCCAGAAAAATAAGTAGCAGCTGGCAGACTGGGGACGGAAACCAGAACTCAAAGTAGCCGTGACCCAACATGAGTCTCCCTAGAGTTTCCCCTCCCGGTGCTGCCCGGCCTGGGCTCGAAGGCAGCGACTAGACAGAGGAAGCCCGCCAGAAGCCCTCTGTTTCTGTTCCAAGGACAGGAAAGGGACCTCTTGGGTCAGAGCAGGGAAATCCCCTAGGTGTTCCTTTTCTTTTTCCGTTCTGTCCTGCCCTGGCCCCAGGTAACCCTGCAGCAGCGGGCTGGGAACAGCAGCAGCATCTGGCCAGTGCCTAACATTCACAGAGGGGGTCATCCTCTTCTCTAACCAAAAAGCTACAGTCTCAAGAATGTGGGGCAAACCCCTGGGGCTCCGCTCTCTTTCTCAGCCTCTCTCACTGTCCTCCCTCCACTAGGCCATAAACACATCCAGCAAGACAAAGACTGTCACACACAATAACTTTATTGTGGGAATGCAAGGCTGGTTCAATATTTGAAAGCCAATTTATGAGAGAGTCCATAATGAGAATCTACAGAAGAAAAACCACATGATCACATTACCCAATACATAAAGGCATTCAGTAAAATTCAGCGTTCATTCAAACTGACAAAGGGCAGCGACAGACACCTCCACCTCATCATTCTTAATGGGTAAAGGCGCTTTCATCCTACAAGCAGAAACCAGGCAAGGATATTCATTTTCATCACTCCTGACTCAGTATCCTACTGGAAAAAAGTCCCAGCAAGGGCAATAAGGCAGAAAAAAGAAATAAAAGGCCAAAACCGGTTTGGCTCAGTGGATAGAGCGTCGGCCTGCGGACTGAAAGGTCCCAGGTTCGATTCCGGTCAAGGGCACGTACCTTGGTTGCAGGCACATCCCCAGTAGGAGATGTGCAGGAGGCAGCTGATCGATGTTTCTCTCTCATCGATGTTTCTAGCTCTCTATCTCTCTCCCTTCCTCTCTGTAAAAAAAAAAAATCAATAAAATATATTTTAAAAAAAAAAGGAAATAAAAGGCAAGGAGGTTAAAAAGGAAGATGACAAACTAAGGTCGGAGGTATTCTGTGACTTGCTGACACTGCGGACCAGCGCCCAGTTCTCTGTAGCACCTAATACAGTAGTGAAAGCATAACTGAAGCTCACTGGCTCAGAGAAACTCAAGTTTGGGAAAGACTTCAAATAGAATTCAGACTCCTCTATCCAAGACAATGAACTTGCCAAGATTAAAAATAAGGATCAGACAACCATTTATCACAATGAGGTAAGGAGGGGAAAAAGTCAATTATCAGAACTTTTATTCAGCTACTTCTCACCTGTTCTTTTCCAAATACCATCAATTTTGTAAGGGTCCTGGGCTAAGAAGATTTTTATAATAAAAACAAAGTATATTAGTCAAGGTGAGCTTGGTTATGCTGTGGTGACATACAACCCCTCAAACGCCAGTGGCTCAGAATCTCGTATCTGTGTATCTTCCTCAGGCACAGACATGCAGGCTGGTGGGAAAGATATGCTCATCATGGGCACTAAAGACCCAGCCTGACAGCAACTCCCTTTTGACAGTTTTCTTCCCAATGAACTCACCAGGAGAAGTGCAGCAGATCACACACTGGCTTTCAAGTTTCTATCCAGAAATAACACACGTCACTCTGCTCACATTCCATTAGCCAGAGCAAGTCACATGACTACACCTAACTGAAAAGGGGGCAATGAGACCCTACCCCATGCTTGCAAGATGGGAAGCCACTTGTAGCTGGCAAACAGAACTGATAACTACCATACTAAATCAACGACTCGAGTTGAAACAACTGATCGGAAAATCCGCAAAATCAAGAACACAAAAATGTCATGACGAAACTCTTTCAACAACCCTTAAACAAATGCTTGATTTTTCTACTAGGAAAGCACAGAAATTCTTGTTATTGATGCTGCATCATTAGAACACTAATGCGTAGGAGTGTTTAGCAGCCATGCTCCACACACAAAGATTAGCTGATCCTACCTGATGCTGGAGTCCTCGGTGCTCGAGTCCTGATCTCTTCTGGTAAAAGCATCCTTCCAAAACGGATGCCGCAGCAGGCCTGCCCAAGTTAATCTGCATAAAACACAAATGTTCAAATTCTGTCCATATGATTCCCAGGGGGAAGTCCCAGGACATGTCCCAGTTACAGGAATCAGATCTTATCATGTATAAACATCTCCATGTAAATGCACCTCTGAGATCGTGCGATACTTCACTCTTTCATTCCCGTACCCAACTGACCTCTCTTAAACAGCAACCGATAATTCAGAAATAATTCAGAGGCCTCACATGGTGCAGAATGAAAGGGTCTGACAACTAAGTATTAGAAGTCTCAGGGTTCATATCCAGGGAGCCTGATGAAAACATTTTGGGTTCTCAATGAAGAAATCTAACAATAATTTTAAAATGTAAAGCAAATAGATCACATATTACCAACCTCTAATTCTGCCCCACGACAGGCTTGATTATTCTAGGGCACCCTGCCTGTTTTACACATTTCATTGGTGGGACTTCACTCCTATAACTTCATTCAGAAATAAACAAGAATATCAACTTCATGACTATATACAGTCACATCTCTATTCAGGTGCCAAAATGTTGTCTAGCTACATTAACTGTTGTCACCCACATGAAAGTGACTTTTGGCTCTATCTAAAACCCAGACTCACTCTCAAAGCATTACGTTTTACTACTAATAGATTATTATACTCATCAGACTCAGAAAGGTTAAATCTAATTGAAATTTTAAAACAAAACAAGAAAATAGCTTATATTTAATTAATTTAATCATTCAACATTTCTGAATTGAAGTGAAAACTACTTTAATCAAAATTAAAACACTAATGATAAAGAGAAAGAATTTACAACTATATATACAAGGGCTCTTAAAATTCACTCATGGAGAAATAAAATTGCCAGTAAAATGGAATTTCTTTTCCATCCATAAGATTGGCAAAAACGTGTAAGATCAGCAAAGCCCATGGCAGGTAACTGGTGGGGAAAGAGCTTCCTAGAGTTGCTGAAAGTGGAAACCATTTCGAACATGTTCCCCAAATGCAGCAAACGTATCACACTTTTAAATGCTCTTAGCGTTTAGACAGCATTTATCCAAAAGGGATAACTTCGCAAGTGAATAACAAAACATACTCAAAGGCTATTTCCTGTAGCAGTGTGTATGGTATTCTAAATCAAGACACACTCTCAGTGTTTATTGCTATTACAGGTTATCATGCATACACTGCAGCCAGTCAAAGTGACTAAGTAGATATAGCCCGGCCGGCGTGGCTCAGTGGTTGAGCATTGACCTATGAATCAGAAGGTCATGGTTTGATTCCAGGTCAGAGCACATGCCCAGATTGCAGACTTGATCCCCAGTAGGGGGCGTGCAGGAGGCAGCCAATCAATGATTCTCTCTCATCACTGATGTTTCTCTCTCTCTCTCCCCCTCTCCTTTCCTCTCTGAAATCAATAAAATATATATTTAAAAATGAAAAAGAATGACTAAGCAAAACAGAGAGAAAAAAGTAGCTTAGCGGGTGGTCCCATTTATGCAAAAAAAAGCATACAATATAGAGATATAAATAGGTAGAAATGTAGGTATATCACCCTAAATAAAGTATCCTTAAGCCTATCAAAAGATGTCTGGACGATTACCCACCAAAATAACACTAATCCTAAAGGCATTCTATTACAAGCATGGGAGGTTTGTCCTAAAACTTACACAAGAACAGCTTTTCCTTCTGCAAGTTCTCTCTTACATTTAACGAAGATGGAGAACGGAGTGTTTTATTTGCTATGTGAAATATACTCATTATTTTACACTGAGGCAGAGACCCAAATACTTGCTTCACAACAGTGTCCCCACTCCCTTTTCCTGCAGTTACCTAGTGGCAGAACCCGAACTAGGAACCAACTGCTCTTCACCCCCAGGCCAGGGAAACCCCCTCCCCACGCTGCAACACAGAATTGTCACACTGTGCAATTTTCCTGTCACTTGAAGTTCCCATGATGACAGGAGTATCATAAAAATATATCGCATGAAAATACCACCCAGTTAGTGTTATTGCATCAGCCATCTCGACAGTACCCTCCCTAGTCCAACAGTCAAAGGGAGCGTTAGCCTGAAGTCTCCAATGGAAAGAACTAAGCTGTTTGAATTCAGGAGTTACAAGAAAATCCATCCAGGTATTAGGCAACTATTGAATACATTAAAGGAGAAAATGACTTAAAATTCCTCATCATTAAAAACACGGGCAAAGAAAAACCCTGAGTGTCAGCTCAGATTTCCTTTTGTAAAAAGTAGTTTGAACCCCTCTGTGTGTATGAAGAACAGTGCCATTCCAGAAGTGCATGAAAGAAAAAAACAGATCCCGCTCATCGTTCATATTACAATACCATCCATGCAGACCTTTTCTGAGGGTCCTTTTGAAGCAAACCATCCAGCAAATTCATAAAATCTGGAGACGCTTTAGGAAGAGAAGAATCTGCACACAAATTAAGTCCCAAAAATGAAAAAAAAAAAAGTGATAAGGAGATGAATACGGACCCTACATCAACATTTAAAGTCATGGAACTTTAAGCACATAAATTCTTTTAAAGAGAACACTGAGTCTATTAATAACAATTAAGCTTCCATTTACATAGAGGGGAGAGGGGCACAATTTTTTTTAATATCTTTTTCCTATACTACAGAAAACTAAGTTTCGATCAACTGCTAAAATTACTTGATTGTCTAACCCCAGTAAGAATTACTGGCCTCACAAGCTCATACCCTTGTCTCCCACTAGTAATTATGCCCCATTTTCTGAGGCATTATTATTAATTTGACCAACTTTGCTTTAATATACTATGATTAGAATACTTGTAATTCCTTTTATTTTTAGCAGGAAAAATAATAAGCATCACATTATGATATTGTCCAATTGTCTTAACCTCTAAACTTTGCCTTTTTAAATTACCGATACATATATATATACATACATACACATACACATACATACACACACACACACACACACACACACACACACACACACACACCGTGGCCCAATTATCAGTCATGGTTAAAATAAGAAGCCATGAAGACAATGGCCAAAGACATGGCCAGGCACTGTCAGGCACTCTGGCCACCGTGTGATGAAGGACTGTGACATAGCCAGCTTGGGCCACCAGTGGTACCCTGACCAGACCTTTGGCACCTCATTTCCAGGTTTCTTCCCTGCATAAAAACCTTTAACTTATAGGAGAAAACAATAATCAATATTGTATTGAAAAGTCATCAGAAGAAATACAAATGACTGATTTCTACAAAAAATAAGACTACGTTAATGAAAGGGGAAAAATGCATCATTTTGTTTTAAGAAATACAGATTATTTTCAAAATATCAAGAGTTTTGTTTTTTTCACCTGGGGTGATTCTTGAAAAATTGAAAATATCCTGTATTCCTATTTCTTCCATGAATGACTTCCGATTTTTTTTTCTCTTAAAAACTCCCACTATTATTTTTTGTAAAGTTCTGTTTTCGTTTATGTGGCTTAAGATTCACTTTTCTTATGGTGTAGAGCAAAGTGCTTTATTATGTTTGTATCTGCTTTTGTTTTTCTTTCCTTTCCTTCAAGTTAACAGTAGATGGTTATATTAACCACAATTTGTGTGATTAAAATCCCGACACTTAAAATACTACACTATCTCTCCTTCCAAAGGCTCTAACAACTTGTCAGGGCAGCATTCTGATCATCAAGACCAGGGCTGAGAATGCCCGATTCGTTACTATGCAAACACTAACCAGGCATAACTACAAAGGACATGAGTCCAAATTAGGTAAACGACACAGAGACAAAATAATAAATAAAAGTCTGACTTCTCAATCTGTAAGCCAGACATCTCTTGATATAGGAGGGCAAAGTAATTCGTGATTTTAAATGAGGGAAACTACTACTTTTCCATTTAAGTATCTAAAAAAAAAATGGCAAAGGGAACGTTAACATTTCTAAAAATATCAATTGCCGAGACCGGTTTGGCTCGGTGGATGGAGCGTCGGCCTGGGGACTGAAGGGTCCCGGGTTCGATTCCGGTCAAGGGCATGTGCCTTGGTTGCTGGCACATCCCCAGTGGGAGATGTGCAGGAGGCAGCTGATCGATGTTTCTCTCTCATCGATGTTTCTGACTCTCTATCTCTCTCCCTTCCTCTCTGTAAAAAAATCAATAAAATATATTTTAAAAAAATAAATAAATAAAAAAAAAATAAAAATATCAATTAGGGAACATTTATAAAATGTAAATTGGGAAGTTATGAATCAATAAAAATAGACAACAAAAGTGCACCTGTAGTCAGTGTAAAGTGTAAATGAACTGCATTTATAACAAAAATCCTACCTTTTGGAATAGGTGGCGAAGGATCTTTATGAACAATCTTTTCAATTACTTCTGAAACACTTTCTGAGAAGAATGGAGGTTTTCCTGAAATTACATGAAAACTTGTCAATTAAATACATTTGTCATCACCAATTATTCTAAAAAAAAAACAAAACCAACTGCAGATAGTTCAGCATTACACAATTTACAAATGCATATATAGTGATAACTAATTATTGAATGTCTAGTATATACCAGGCACACTACGTATTTTTATATTTCTATAATTCAAAATCTGTCACCCCAACCAATATACAAATTCACATATGGAACCTACCAGGACCCACGGTTTACATGGGCTACTGGACACATGGGAATAATTCAGTCACAGGTACCTTTGCAAGAATTTCTACTAATAAGCACAGCTCTTTAATAGTTCGGCACATTTCAACATTCCAGATCATCACGAAAAATACCTATCGGTCAAAAAGGTCCTAGGGACTTGAATGTGCCTAGACTCCAAGCACTCCAGCCAAAATCATAGAGACAGAAATTAGAAAAACCAGCCTTTGCCCGGCTGGTGTGGCTCAGTAGTTGAGCAGCGACCTATGAACCAGGAGGTCATGGTTCAATTCTCAGTCAGGGCACATGCCCAGCGGGGGACGTACAGGAGGCAGCCAATCGATGATTCTCTCTCATCATTTGATGTTTTTATCTCTCTCTCTCCCTTCCTCTCTGAAATCAATAAAAAATATATTTTTAAAAAATTAAGTTAAAATAATAAGCAGCCTTTTCACATCTTAGAGGTAAAATGTTTACAAACTACAGATTTCACCTTTGTGTTTATCCAGCTGTAACTTGAAAATGAAGCAGAAAGTAATCACCTGAAAACATCTCATACAGCAGACAGCCCAAAGACCAGAGGTCGCTGGCGACGGAGAAGTCGGTGCCCTTCACAATTTCGGGTGCTGTGTAAGCAAGCGATCCTAAACACAAAGCACAAACAGCAGCTTCGTTAGCAGTTTGTACTGTTCTCACCACAAACCCACCTGGGAGAGACCCGACGAGGTGAAAATGAGGAGAATATACACGTGCACATAACTTCATGTGCATTTCACATGGTTTAATGTTTCCTAATGGTAAAGTTCCATTTTACCAGGATATGTCAAAATATAAACAGAGTTATTTCAAAAACCCAGCTAAGTCAGAGGCGTGGCACATATAGGCATATTTATCCTCTTTGAAATTAACAATTTAAATAGTCCAAAGAAAAGCAGCTCTGGTTAGAATATCTTGGACAGGCCGAAACCGGTTTGGCTCAGTGGATAGAGCGTCGGCTTGCGGACTGAAAGGTCCCAGGTTCGATTCCGGTCAAGGGCATGTACCTGGGTTGCGGGCACATCCCCAGTGGGAGATGTGCAGGAGGCAGCTGATCGATGTTTCTAACTCTCTATCTCGCTCTCCCTTCCTCTCTGTAAAAAATCAATAAAATATATTTTAAAAAAAAAAAAAAGAATATCTTGGACAGGATGTGTTAAGTTACGCAGCAGTAACACCCCACATTCCCCTAAATTACAACAAAGTTATTTATCGTGCAAACCACAGTGCGGCCCAGGTCAGCCGAGGGCTGATGCTCAGGCACTCAAAGACCAGGGCTGACGGAGGCTCCGCCCCCAGACACCCCCTCAGTCATCGAGGCAGAGACAGCACCCAGCACTGCACACTGGCTCAACTACAGCTAACACCCCAGGGCGCAGCTCACTGTCAAAACCACCGCCCAAGAGTGAACCCCTAAAAGTCTTCCTTAATTGCAAGGATCAGCTGCTCAACCATGTGAAACAAATAACTACGGAGCCACCAGCGTGGGCCAGGCACTGTGCCAAGTGCTGAATACGGCCAGGAGTGAGGCCAAACCCCTGCTGCTGATGTTCTGACATGTGGTCAGGGACATACAGAGGTCAGGATGAGATCCGGGCTGTCAGGGGTTCCGGTGCCTACACAGCATTCGATCCTCATGGAAAACCTTAGGCCGTTGACAAAGCCATCCCTGTATCCGGACTTCTCGTCATTGTTATTTTGCATCCATTATTTGACTAGCAAAATAAAAGGTCAACATCATCCCCTAACGTGACCTGGGTGGCCCACAGCGAGCGTTAGGATCTAAAAACTCTCCACGTACCTCGGGTTCTACTTTTCATATTTTTCTTCAGCACATGTTCCCCACTATCACCTCCTCCTTCTTCTGTTGCCATCAAAGCAAAGAAGTCTTCCAAATTTTCACCTTCCACTTTGGCCAGGCAGAAATTACTAAACTTCAACGTGCCGGGCCCTTCCAAGAGAATCTATACAGATTAAAAATGAACATGGTCACCACCTGACCCAACTTACACTTCCCACAGCACCTCGTAATCTCACTAAAGCACTCTGAAGCATTTCTTGCTTCATCACAACTTAGAAAATTAAATGCTTACTTTGAAAAAAAAAAAAGAAGAAGCTAAAGAGCCCTAGTCGGTTTGGCTCAGTGGATAGAGCAGGGGTGGGCAAACTTTTTGACTCGAGGGCCACAGTGGGTTCTTAAACTGGACCGGAGGGCCGGAACAAAAGCATGGATGGAGTGTTTGTGTGAACTAATATAAATTCAAAGTAAACATCATTACATAAAAGGGTATGGTCTTTTTTTTTTTTAGTTTTACATGTGGCTCGCGAGCCGCGGTTTACTGACCACAGCCCTAGCCGGTTTGGCTGAGTGGATAGAGTGTTGGCCTGCAGACTGAAGGGTCCCAGGTTCGATTCAGGTCAAGGGCACATGCCCGGGGTTGTGGGCTCGATCCCCAGTAGGGGGCAGGCAAGAGGCAGCCAATCAATGATTCTCTGTTATCATTGATGTTTCTCTCTTTCCCTCCATACCTCCCTCTCCCTTCCTCTGAAATCAAAAATATATTAGAAAAAAAAATTTTAAAACAGCTAAAGAAATCCAACATTTTAATAGTAATGGAATCAAATATTAAACTGTTCGCTCTCAGATGTATATAATGAACACATCACATAACCACAGAGGGAAACCTCGGGCTCTTAAGAGCAGTGTATATGGAGCAATCCGTACACTCTACTGACACTGAGGGAGGCTCTGAAAGCACACCTGTCAGGTGGTGTTTATATAATGTATGGCTAAGACTAAGGCTCTGAAGTTAGAGGCCTAAAACTCTCACAGGCAATCTGACCTGGAGAATCTACTTAACCTTCCTAAATCTCACTCTCTTCCCCTATAAAACGAAAAAAGCACACTTAACTCTGCAGACTGTGGTAAGGAATAGCTGAGGTTACGCGTGCAAAGGGCTTTGAATAGTGATTGGCATGTGCTAAGTGCTCACGTCTCTAATATAAGTTGTGACTAGAAGTTATCTGTTGAGTGTTAAAACCATGCCAGGAACCAGTGTCCTGTTACTTTTCATTTTTTCTCCAGAGCCATTAAAAATATTTATGGGAAGTTGCAATGAGTCAGCTGGCTTTTTGTTTTCAAAAGCAATTTAAAGTTTGCCCTTAACTTCTAATCAGAAATACTAAGGATGTCTGTTACAAGTCCCCAGTGACTTTTAAAAGTGTTTGAGCACCAGAAGTCCCTGGAAGATCTGTTAAGAAGAACTACTAGTCTCTACTCCCAGAGTTTCTGATTCCACAGGTCTCGGGAGGGTCCAAGAACCCACATTTCCAATGAGTCCCAGGTAACACTAATGCTGCTGGTCCAGGGAACACACTTTGAGAACCAGTGAGAGGGGTCAGCAATTTTTTTTAAGTTAGTAAATCTTTCAGACTTTGCAAGCCATAAGGTCTTTGTCCTGATTACTCAACTCTCTAGCCACCAACAATATAGAACGAAAGGGTGTGGCTATGTTCCAATCGAACCTCACTTACAGGAACAGGCACCCTGCCCGGACTCTGCCAACCCCAGATCTGGAATAAAAGTTACATTACAAGTCAGCCTGGATGTCCCATTACTAGTATAAACAGCTGATACTAGACCTCATTAAACACCTCCCACACGGGGGTTGGCACGCCTCGGCCCCTCAGTCAAATCCCAGCCAGCACCTGTTTCTGCACAGGAATGAGCTAAGAGTGGTTTTATATTTCTAAGTGGTTGAAAAAAACTGCAATAAGATAATAGTTTTTGACATGAGAATTATATAAAATTCAAATGTCAATGTCCATGAATAAAGTTTTATTGAAACAAGCCACACCTGTGCATTTATATACTGCCTATGGCTGCTTTCAGGCCTGTAACCACAATTAAATGGCTGTAGACTTCAGGCCAGTATATGAATATTTCAAACAAGGATTTTTATCTGTTATGAGGAGTTTTATGGATTTAAGGTTTAATTATGTTCTCATACAGACAGCTTCTAATAATGTTTAACAAGGAAACATACAATTTTCCATTTCATTGTGTACACATTACCAAAGGGACAGTAGCAACTCAAAGCCATAATGAATACAATCCCTAAGAGTATGTCCTTGTAAAGATAACTGTGCCTGATTGAGGGCACACTGTGCACCAAAAAGTGTCCCCGAAGCTTCTCCTAAATACAACATGTAAGCCTTACACTCGCCCTGAAATTCCCATTTTTATATTAGAGACAAGAAACTAAGGCAGAGAGAGAGAGAGAGAGGAATTTGTCCATGGAACAGGGCTCCTAAATGTCAGTGTCAACTGTGACCAGGAAACTAAGCAGGTTTCATGACCACTACACTGAAGCGCATTTAGTTCTGGATGATTAGCTTAGCCCAAAAAGAAAATATATGATCCATAATAGCCAAAATTCCATTAGCAAACTAAAGTAATGGCTCATAATTGTGTACTATAAGAATTAAGAATTGCCGAAACTGGTTTGGCTCAGTGGATAGAGCGTCGGCCTGCGGACTCAGGGGTCCCGGGTTCGATTCCGGTCAAGGGCATGTACCTGAGTTGCGGGCACATCCCCAGTGGGAGATGTGCAGGAGGCGGCTGATCGATGTTTCTTTCTCATCAATGTTTCTAACTCTGTATCTCTCTCCCTTCCTCTCTGTAAAAAATCAATAAAACATATATTTAAAAAAAAAAAAGAATTATTTCATAAAGCTATGGACCTCACCATTCACAATACAGGTCAGCAGCAATAATAATTACTCACAGAGCTCTGAAAGGAGGGGAAACTTTGCATTCTACAAGGACTTCAATGGGTAGCTAACTAGGTAGCTAAAATACAGTTTCCTTTTATTAAAAAACTAGTGGCCCGGTGCACAAATTCATGCACATTGAAAGGAAATTAACTGGTAGAAATATTTTAATATTGCTATTTGCCCTTTCTCCATAATAGAAGTGTCAACCAAATTCATGATCGACAATGACAGATGGAAACACACGTGTGCGATTGGCACCAGTGTTTTATATGTATCGTGCATGCATGAGTCAACTTAGCCTTTTATAGCTATAGAACAAACGTACTTAATTAGACCTGCTTTCTGATTTAGCTAAACTTTTTCCAGCCCAGTGAAGCACCCCAACTTCTCTTTCAGGTCATTATCAACAACACAGCAGTAAATATCAACACAAAGCAGATTATTATTGTAGATCATGCAGGGAGAACAAAGGGTAAAATATTTAACTGCAGCAGTGTTTGACTATATTCTGCACAGTGAGAACACCTGGAGTCATTTTCAAGGTCCACCATTTCTTACTTCTTTTCAGTCGGGTCAAGTTTCTAAGCTTTCTAAATCTCCGTTTTCTGGCTAATGAAAAGAAAATAGGATTCCACCGAGTCTCCTATCTACCTACTCCAGGACTTCTGTGAGGATCAAATGAGATGAGGCATGGGAAAATGCTTCACAGACATGTGGTTACAGTGTGAAATGTTCCCACCTGGCTATAAAGCAAGTCGTGTTCCTGGGCTGAAGAAACCAAGGAGGCTAGTCACTAGGTAGAGGAAGCCAGGCGTTGCTATGTGATATCATTACCCAAATGGACACTTAGCATATCAGCCTTTTATATATAGATGTTAACGCAAAATTTCAAGATGTTCTATACCTAAAATTATATCTAAAAATAAACGTACCATTGAGAAAGCACCGTTAACTAAGGCACAAGCGATTAGGAAATCAAAATATTAATGAATTACCTTCCCAGGAGAAAGGTCACAAAAGAGAATGCCAAGTTGATGAAGATGATGCAATCCAGTAATCAGGTCAATCCCAAAGCTTCTCACAACATCTTCCGGGAGGTTTTCATCTTGAGCAATGACCATTTCTAAGGAACCACCTGCAAGTTGATTAAAATCACCCATTTTAGCCCCCCAGCATTACATGGTGCCTCCAGCGGGTTCCATGGTGGGAGACACTGAGCATGAAAAACATGATCACATCAGGACCCCTGGACAGCCTAGCAGGAGCACACCTGTGAGGGAGCACCATGGACAAGCGCCCTATCAGACTATCAGAAACCTGTGTCCTCGCTCCAGGCCAGCTCAGGGGACTGACTGCTCAGTCTGCACGGCTGGTCAGTAAGGAGGTGGGTGGGATGCAGGGAGTGACCATCACCCTGGTGCTGTGATGTCTCACTCCAGCTCCCTCGGGAAATGAATGGCTGCAAAGATTTGTGGGAAACACTAAACTGCATTTAAATCACATTATGCAAAGTACAGTCACATTTGCTTCTGTACAAAGTTAGGTCGCATTCTGCAAAGTGCTGCATAGCAAAAAAGATGGTGCCTTTCCTTAACCGTTAGAAAAATCAAACCCTGATGAATTAAATAATGGGACTCAGGCAGTCACGTGGGGAATTCTATTTCTATACCCTTCGGAGGTCCCAGTCACATTTCTATCATCTAAGTGCCAGAAACAAACATGGGGTTTTTTTGTTTGTTTCTTTTTTTTAGGGTCAAGATTAAAGCAAGAGCCAAATTCAGAGACAGTGAAGTCTCAGCTGGCATCTCGAAGTTCAATCAGAATTACTGTGACAAAGGTTGCAGGTGTTTGGGGTTTTGTTTATTTTGTCTTGGTGGGTGAGGAACCACGGCAAACACAGGCATAAATTAAAGTTAGGTCACTACACTGGTCATGGGGCAGAAACAGCAGCTGAAGCAAAAAAAGGAACACGGAGGAAGTCCCCTGCTCACCTCAACCGTGTGCACGTCTGTGGAAGTAATTTAGACCACAGTACCCTACTGATTCAGAAAATGAAATGACAAAATTATTCTATGATTCAGTTTTATAAATTCCAAGTGCCAATAGGTAAGACTCATAAAGCTAGACATAACTACAGTGTGCCTTAATATTGAATGATTCTCTATATTTTCCTCGGTGTATAAACAGGAGTACACTAACCATGGTACTTGCTACATTTTTTCCCTGAAGACACTGGCACTAAAAGCCCAGATAATATCTACCTAGGTAGTCACCCTTCTCCTTGTACATCAGTGATGGCGAACCTTTTGAGCTCGGCGTGTCAGCATTTTGAAAAACCCTAACTTAACTCTGGTGCCGTGTCACATATAGAAATTTTTTGATATTTGCAACCATAGTAAAACAAACTTATATTTTTGATATTTATTTTATATATTTAAATGCCATTTAACAAAGAAAAATCAACCAAAAAAATGAGTTTGCGTGTCACCTCTGACACGCGTGTCATAGGTTCGCCACCACTGTCCTAGAGAGCTGTATCAAACAAAAGCTATAACATGTGATCTCTGATTGCACCTAGGTGATGGTATCTGCTGATTCATCCTTGTACTTTTCCACATTGCTTGTTTTTATAATGAGCAAGTATTCTGTTCATTAAAAAAAAAAGACATTTTATAAACTAATAAGCTAAATAATAGCTAATTGACCTAAAATACTTAGTTTCTACTGAATGGAAAAAGTTATTTGATAAACTAATTACTACTCAAAAATATTTCTAAGTTTTCACATAAGTGATTTGGCAATATTTTATGCCAAAGTAAAGTTAACCCCAAATTGAATATTATATAAATCTTCCTCTTATCAAATATCTTAGCCCTTCCCCTTCCCTAATATCCATTGAACAACAGATTTTCAAGTTAACATAGTCAACAGTATCAACATGAACCTGTAAAAGAAGAAAGGAAAATAACAAAACCTACATCTGACGTTTTTTTTAAAACCACATAACGTGGCTTACCTGTGCAGAGTTCCACTACCAGCCAGAGATGATTGCTGGTTTCATACCATTCGTGCAGGGTTACGATATTCTGGTGTTTAATTTCTTGGGTGAGACGGACCTATAAAAACACACAACATACACACTTTTTAAGAAAAGTTCTTAAAACCCTTGCATCTATTAAAAAATACCTAAATAGCCCAGCCAGGTGTGGCTGAGCATCGACCCAGGAACCAAGAGGTCACCGGTTCAATTCCCTGTCAGGGCATATGCCTGGGTTGCAGACTCAGTCCCCAGTACAGAACGTGCAGGAGGCAGCCAATCAATGATTCTCTCTCATCACTGATGTTTCTCTCTCTCTCTCCTCACTTCCTCTCTGAAATCAATAAAAATATATTCTAACAAAAAATAAAAAAACACCTAAATATGCAATCAGGAAATGGATAAGAAAATAATAGAATTCATTGGGTGGAATTCTTTATGGACATCAAAATGATGGTTATGAAGGCTGGTCACATGGAAACATACAATCTTAAAAATGATTTTTTTCAAAACTTGTGTAATATAGTTTTGTGTATTTTGGGTAAATATAATATTGCAAAAAAGGAAATGTTATTCATAGGAAAATGGCCAAAACGTTTACATCAAAAAAGCTATTGTAGCCCTGGCTGGTATTGTTAAGTGGTTAGAGTGTCGACCCATGCAACAAAGGGTCTCAGGTTCAATCCCTGGTCAAGGGCATGTACCTGGTTCACAGGTGTGATCCCCGACCCCAGCTGGGGCGCATACGAGAGGCAACCAATTGATGTGTCTCTCTCACATTGATGTCTCTCTCTATCTACCTCTCCTCCCTCCCTCCCTTTCTCCCTTCCACTCTCTCTAAAAATCAATTGAAAAAACATCGAGTGAGGAGGAACAAAAGCGAAAAAAAAAGGTTAAGATGGTAAATTTTGTGTTATGTGTATTTTACCACAATAAACAAAAAAAGTTGAGGGGAAAAAAAAAGTCAGGTTTGGTCCAAGGAGCCTGGGCTGTAGAGTGGCACAGCTAATTCAAACCCAAGTCACCCTCGCCCAAAGTCCTTCCTTTGGAAAGCTTCCTAATCACATACTAAATTTAAAAGTAAATGAACCAATCCAGACCGTATTTTCCCCGACTCTCACCAAAACAAACGAAACTCTTACGCTGTTGATGACGTGGGCATGTTTATCAGTCATTAGTCAGGACTGGCGGCACTAAACAGGCACAGAGGGGTCGCCCAGTCGATTGAAAACGTGGCACCTGCTATAGTGAGTTCCACGGCTTCTATTTACATACTACTGATTCTACCACATCAGAGCTGTCTTTTGCCAGAGGGAAGGAAACATACTTGACTTACCCAATTCGTTATTTCAGGCCTTTTGCACTTATCTGTGCAAAAAACAGCTACAAAATTGATTGTTCCCTTCCGTCGCCCTTTATAGACAATGGTCCTGCTTCCTCTGCCGATCTCCTCGTATAGAACGAAGTTTTGCATCTCCGGGCCAACTTCTCACACTTGATAGAAGGACCGCCTAATAGCATCTCTAGCTCCTAAAATGTAAACAAAAATGACACACATAAATGCAAGCTAGTCGTATGATTAATTAGCCCAGGATATTTAATATGTAAATAAATAAATCTAATAATTCTATAAATTCATAAGACTCACTGGTATGCAACACCTACAAGTAAGTGTTGAATACCAGTGTCTTTCTTTTTGTAGGATGAAAAAAGATATGGGAAAAATAAATAAAAGAAACAATTCACAAACCAATATTCAACTTCCTAAAGATCTTAACAAAAACAATGAAAATGACAGCTGTCTCCAAAACAACACAAATCATGAGATGAATGCAATTTCAGGCAGTGTATCTTGATACCTCTGCTACAATGGAAAGCATATCTGTAGAGAAAGAAATGAAACAATGTACGCAAAAATACTTCATAAACAAATATGGAAATGACAGCATTTCCATCTACTCCACAGATACTGTACAAATCAATATTATTCGAAGTCAGAGCTCAGCAAACTACTGGTTCCTGGGCCAATTCAGCCTGTTGCCTGTTTTTGTACATAAAGTTTAACTGGAGCACAGCTATGCCCAATTCATTAATATATTGTTTAAGGCCACTTTCACGCTACAATGTCAGAGTTGAGCAGTTGTGGCAGAGACCACATGGCCTGCTCACACACTCAAATGTTTACTATCTGGCCCTTCACAGGAAAAGTTTGCTAAATCAAGATTTTTTAATATATGTTTTAATATTTTCATTGATTTCAGAGAGGAATGGAAAGAGAGAGAGAAAAAAAACATCAATGATGAGAGAGCGTCATCAATCAGCTGCCTCCTACAAACCCCACCTGGTTCACAGGTCGACGCTCAACCGCTGAGCCACACCAGCTGGGTGATTAAATTAAACAGTGTTAAAACACATTGCGTACCGCATAGAAATCTCTAAGACATACGCCAGGGACCGCACGTTTTTGGGCAAACTGCACGTTATTTAAATCATCATAATGCACTTTAGGTGTTGTTTTTCAATAATTATAACATTTTTATTTACAAAAACAATTACACAACTAAAGTTCCTAGTACTTTTTTAACGTATGGTACTGCGTAACACATTTTCCTCTCTGAAAAGGGACCAAACAAAATTTACATAAGTATCTAGATTCGCTTTTTCCATGGGCGTGAAAAACGAGAACACTCGTGAGCGGTCCTTAACAGATGGCGCACGAAACACGAGAAAACTCCTGAGCGGTACGAAATGTGTTAAAATGAAGAAGATGTTGAACCAGAAATAAAGAGGCCTTACTTACATGTTTACAAATTGGCTACATTAGGATACATCCAGATAAAGATGCTTAAGTGTTGATGCAAAATGAATAACTGATTCCTCAAACTCAAGGTGATCGTCTAAGTTATCTTCCAAGTTTGAAATTCCATGAATTTAAGATTTTTTTTGACTCAGTCTAAGGGCCTGCCTCACAACAGACTTCCCACTATGAATTTTTAAAATTTTATTACCTCTTAAGTTGTAAAATGAAACACAAATACAGAAAATCCCACAAAATAGAGTTTACTGAATTATGGTAAGAGGTACACCGCTGTCATCACCACCCGGGCCAGGAATAGCACTTGGTGGCCACCCCAGAAATCCCTCCATGAGCCTAAGGCAATCACAGCTCCGCCTGCTCCCCAAAAGTAACCGCTCTCCTTACTTTCACAGTTATCACTTCCTTGGGTTTCTTCATAGTTTTCCCACCCACGTGCGGAATCCCAGACAGTTTAGTCTTGCACGTTTTCTAAAAGCGTGGTGCATCTTTTCTCTCTCTTTTCATCTACAAGTTCACCTAGATATCATCCGAAAAGCCAGAAGTCAGAGCAAATCACACCTACAAGCAAAGGAGGCATTTACGAGCCAGGGGCACGCAGGTGAAGACCCGGATCCTCCCCTCCATCAGCCCCGCCCTTTAACTCCCGCACTAGCAGCATCAGCGACACCTGGGAACTGGATAGAAACCAACTCTCGCGCCCCATTCCAGACTCTGGAATCAGAAACTCTGGAATCCGGGCCTGGCAAGCAGTTTTAATTCGGCCTCGGGATGCTCGCTCACCTTTGCGAACCTCGGGCCGCGTCACCCTTGCCCCGGGACCCAAAAGGCGGCCAGGCATTTTGCTAAGTCCTTCAACAAGTGCGCCTCCTGCAGCGCTTTACAGACCGAATTCCCTGCAGGCTGAGCTCGGTCTGACTTCGGGCCGAGGGATGGCGGGAGAGGGAAGAAGAGTGAGTAGGCGGGCAGCGCCCCTCCAGACCCACAGTCTCTCCCGCGTGGGCTGAGGGAGTCCCGAATCCAGACTTACGCCCCTAAAACTGCCACTCACCGGGTCTCTGGGGGAGATGCCACCGACCACCCAGACCGCTCCCCCCTTGTGCGCAGGTCTGGAATCCTAGCCCCCTCGGGACGGGTCCACTGGCCCCAAACCGGGGGCGAAGCAAGGGAGCAAAGCGGGACGCGCGGTAGCAGCGTAAGGCCGTGAGCGTCCGGCGCCCCTCCGCGTTTGGATTCGCCCATCCCGTCTCCAGGGCAGCACGCAGAACGCCAGAAAGAGCGCAGGCTCTGACTGGCTGAACAGTTTCGGTTCCTATTGGCTGGAAGTGAGCGGCTAGAGCACCTCCCTCAACCCAAAGGGCCTCGCGCCCAGCCTTCGGACGAGTCCACTGACCCTGGACCGGGGCAGAAAGTGGTGGAGGGAGGCGGGGCTCTGAGCGTCAGCGTCCGGCCTCGCGAACTGAGCACCCCTCCGCATTTGGATTCGCCCAGCCGGTCTCCAGGGCAGCACGCAGGACGCCGGAAGAAGTCCCTGGCGCTGACTGGCTGAGCAGTTTGAGTTCCTATTGGCTGGAGCCCGGAAGTAGGAGTGGGTGACGGGCGGTTCGTCCATCCTTTTACGGTGTGTGGGGATTGGGGTCTTGGACCGATCAGGAGGACCTACCTGGGCTGTAGTGGCAGATTTGGGGGCTCTGCGGCCCTGGGCTCTCGTCATTTCTTCTCTGCCCTCTCCCCGTTTCCTTCCGTCCTTTTTCTTCTGACGCCCTCCGTAGCCCAGGTGGACGTGGGTAACCAAAGGGCTCAGAAGCCTGCTCCTCGGGTTGCCCACCCTTGGAAAAGAGAAGGCTATGGATTACTTCCTTCTTGTACCTGAGAAAACAGACCAGATCCTCTGATCTCGAGGTGATTGCTTATGACTTGGGAAGCTCCAGGCCCTCAAATCTAACCACCAGATACCTGAGCGCCAGCTCCCCACTTCCTTCCATTTACGTTAACGCAGTTTTTCCTCAAACTTTAGCATCAGAATCACCTAGAGACTCTAGAGTGCTTGAGAAAGCACTACTGGGCCCCACCCAGAGAACTTCAGATTCTGTAGATCTTGATGAGGCCCAAATGTTTGCATTTGTATCAAGTCACCAGGTGAAATAGATGTTGCTGATAAGGGACAAACTTGTAGACACTGTGTCTCTGATCTCAGGTGAAACACATGCCCTGTTCTTTGACTTCTAACCCTTCCTGCCTTCTCAGTAATCTTATTATTGTCAGTTTTGTGTAGAGCAGTGATTCCCAACATGGGCCCCACTGGGGGGTGGGGGGGCAATTTGATTTTTAAGGGGGGCAGTTTGAGACTGAGTTAACAGTGAATTTTTTGCATTTCTTATGGTTCTAGGGACCTCATGCAGTATATAAATACACATTGTAATATATTTATGCATTTCAGTTCTCTATGATATGTTTTGAAACTTTGCTATTTTCTCATATCACTTTGAATTATGATTTTTTTAACAATTTCTTAGTGCTTTCTTTCTCAGTACTTCAACTGTCCTTTCGTTCTTTTATTTTCCTCTTTCCTGGAAGCTTGTTTAGACCAAGTTAATGGCCTTTTAGGCTTCCTCCACGTGAATAGGAGTTCACTTTTTGAATAATAAGAATTATTTGTCACAGGGAAGAGGAGCATCAGGATTTTGGAGATGTTTAGGTGGGGCATGGCCCAAAAAAGGTTGGGAACCGGTGGTGTAGAGGCACACCTCATTTTATTGCATTCCACTTTATTGCGTTTCACAGGTGTTGCTTTTTTTTAACAAGGCAAGACCCTCCTCCAGCAAAATGACTGGGGCTTGCTTTATTGTGCCACTCCCTTTATTATGGTGGTCTAGAACCACACATGCAATATCTCCAAAGTATGCCTGCACTGAACATTTGATATGAAAAACGTTTCCTCATAGGTCACCCCCTAGTAACGAGACATAAAATGAGATTTCGACTAGTTCATTCCGAGTTTTGATAACAGCTTAAGTGTTAATGTCAGAAACTATCAAATCCCAGTACATCTTAGCCTAGGTTCCCTGGATGCCTCCAGCCCATAACATGAACCTGCTAAAATGGTTAAAATCTTGTGAGCATGTGCATTTTTCTGGGCTAGAGAGACATGGGTTTGCTCAGAATCTCAAAGGTATTATGACCCAGACATTTAAGTTATCCTGCTATAAGACAATCTTGAATTATAAGCCCAGGTTTTT